TTCTGTGACTGAACACAGCCACGTTGCCACGTCTGTGACTGAACACAGCCACGTTGCCACGTCTGTGACTGAAACACAGCCACGCTGCCACACCTGTGAGTGAACACGGCGACGCTGCCACACCTGTGTGTGAACACGGCGACGCTGCCACACCTGTGAGTGAACACAGCCACGTTGCCACGTCTGTGACTGAACACAGCCACGTTGCCACGTCTGTGACTGAACACAGCCACGTTGCCACGTCTGTGACTGAACACAGCCACGCTGCCACACCTGTGACTGAACACAGCCACGCTGCCACACCTGTGAGTGAACACAGCCACGCTGCCACACCTGTGACTGAACACAGCCACGTTGCCACACCTGTGACTGAACACAGCCACGCTGCCACACCTGTGACTGAACACAGCCACGCTGCCACACCTGTGACTGGACACAGCCACGCTGCCACACCTGTGACTGAACACAGCCACGCTGCCACACCTGTGACTGAACACAGCCACGCTGCCACACCTGTGACTGAACACAGCCACGCTGCCACACCTGTGACTGAACACGGCGACGCTGCCAATTACCTGTTTCTCTTTCTCTTCAACCAGAAAGTCATTATTGCCGTCCCCTTCAGCTATCCACGCCCTCTACATTCTATTCTTGCTGCTATGGTCCCGAGTGGCTACCAGTAACTGCTGATTGTATCCTGATTGGCTGCCATTATTGCTAGCAATGACCTGATTGCTTGCTGCTACTAATTGTAGTGTGTTGATTGGCTGTCCTCGCTATAATGGCTAATCAACTGGATAAGTCTTGTTACGATGGTACTGGAACACATGTTCTCTCCTGTGGAGAGAACATGTGTGTTCTTGTGTGTTCTTGACCAGCATGGTGTTCTTGATAGCATGTTTGGCCTTGTGTTCTTGCTGGGGTTCTCTTCCTCATGCTGGGGTTCTCTTCCTCATGCTGGGGTTCTCTTCCTCATGCTGGGGTTCTCTTCCTCATGATGGGGTTCTCTTCCTCATGCTGGGGTTCTCTTCCTCTTGCTGGGGTTCTCTTCCTCATGCTGGGGTTCTCTTCCTCATGCTGGGGTTCTCTTCCTCATGCTGGGGTTCTCTTCCTCATGCTGGGGTTCTCTTCCTCATGCTGGGGTTCTCTTCCTCATGCTGGGGTTCTCTTCCTCATGCTGGGGTCTCTTCCTCATGCTGGGGTTCTCTTCCTCATGCTGGGGTTCTCTTCCTCATGCTGGGGTTCTCTTCCTCATGCTGGGGTTCTCTTCCTCATGCTGGGGTTCTCTTCCTCATGCTGGGGTTCTTCTCTTGCGGACGCGTTGTTCAATACTGCAATGCTTTGTTTTTTTGCTAGGATGCTGATCTTGCTAGGATGCTGATCTTGCTGGGATGCTGATCTTGCTAGGATGCTGATCTTGCTGGGATGCTGATCTTGCTGGGATGCTGCTCTTGCTGGGATGCTGATCTTGCTAGGATGCTGATCTTGCTGGGATGCTGCTCTTGCTGGGATGCTGCTCTTGCTGGGATGCTGCTCTTGCTGGGATGCTGATCTTGCTGGGATGCTGCTCTTGCTAGGATGCTGATCTTGCTGATATGATGATCTTGCTGTCATGCTGATCTTGCTGGGATGCTGATCTTGCTGGGATGCTGATCTTGCTGGGATGCTGATCTTGCTGGGATGCTGATCTTGCTGGGATGCTGATCTTGCTGGGATGCTGATCTTGCTGGGATGCTGATCTTGCTAGGATGCTGATCTTGCTGATATGATGATCTTGCTGTCATGCTGATCTTGCTGGGATGCTGATCTTGCTGGGATGCTGATCTTGCTAGGATGCTGCTCTTGCTGGGATGCTGATCTTGCTAGGATGCTGATCTTGCTGGGATGCTGATCTTGCTGGGATGCTGATCTTGCTGGGATGCTGATCTTGCTGGGATGCTGAATGCTGGGATGCTGATCTTGCTAGGATGCTGATCTTGCTGATATGATGATCTTGCTGGGATGCTGATCTTGCTGGGATGCTGATCTTGCTGGGATGCTGATCTTGCTGGGATGCTGATCTTGCTAGGATGCTGATCTTGCTGGGATGCTGCTATCCAGCTGCAGCTATTGTCAATGCTGCTAAACAGAGGCACTGTCCTTGCAAGGGTGTTGGCCTTAATAAATGTTGTCTGTGACCATTACTGTGAAGGGGAAACGTGTCCAAAATCCACGGAAAGGTTTACCTCGAGGCCTAAAGTAAATTTACAGTTACTATAGTGGTTAACACAATATAATGGACGAATAAAAGTAATAGTAATTTTAATAGCAGTGTGATTGTCATTATTTAAGTGTTGTTGCAAGATAAGATATCTATGGTCGTGGTGCATCGTCTTCCCAGTATCGTCTACACGTGTGTGTGTGTGTGTGTGTGTGTGTGTGTGTGTGTGTGTGTGTGTGTGTGTGTGTGTGTGTGTGTGTGTGTGTACTCACCTAGTTGTTGAGCTTGCGGGGGTTGAGCTCTGTCTCGGGGATGGGTGTATGAGGCAGAGTCAGAGTCAGAGAGAGAGAGAGAGAGAGAGAGAGAGAGAGAGAGAGAGAGAGAGAGAGAGAGAGAGAGAGAGAGAGAGAGAGAGAGAGAGAGAGAGAGAGAGAGAGAGACACAGAGAGAGAGAGAGAGAGAGAGAGAGAGAGAGAGAGAGAGAGAGAGAGAGAGAGACAGACAGAGACACACAGAGAGAGAGAGAGAGACACAGAGACAGAGACAGAGAGAGAGAGAGAGAGAGAGAGAGAGAGAGAGAGAGAGAGAGAGAGAGAGAGAGAGAGAAGCAGAGAGGCAGAGAGAACGCATGCCACAAGAACGTTTTGAGTAAATAGTTAACAATTCCAGAAAAGAGAGCCGTGAGGACCCGGGGGGGGGGGGGGGCCCCCCTCTCCGACACAGCCCAAGCTGCCCCCCAACTGCCCCCCGGCAACGCCCACTCCAAGGGCCACCAACCAGGTCACAAACATCATAACCTGTGCCACTGTAGGTCAGGCAGAGGTCAAGGGAGGACCCGGAATATAAAAAAACGGTCACAATAGGTCAAGAAAAGGTCATAAGAGAACCAGGAATGAAAACAGGGTTATTAAAGGTCAGGCAGACGCGGCCATTAAGGGATTAAAAGAGCCAACCAGGTCATTGCAGGTCAGAGAGAGAGAGAGAGAGAGAGAGAGAGAGAGAGAGAGAGAGAGAGAGAGAGAGAGAGAGAGAGAGAGAGAGAGAGAGAGAGAGAGAGAAAGTGAGACAGTAAGAGAGAAAGGTCCCCAAAAGCGTAATTTAAATTACAACAAGCATCCTAAAGATATTTTGGAGTTAGTTGACTATTGTCGGTTGCATCCTTGGGAATGGTGTAGGATGGGTGTGTGTGGGACTAGGTAAATCTTAACATATCCTGTCCCCCCGATAACGACAGAACCACATGGCTCCATTCTCCGTGACCTGTAGTCAGCCTGTTCCAAACCCCTTTCGCCTCCAATCAAATTTCCCCCTGTCAATGGGGACCTAAGCTCCGTGTCCCCGGCTTTTGCATACCAAGACCAGACTGTTTCCTTGCGCCTCTGTCCTCCTCTCTCTCTCTCTCTCTCTCTCTCTCTCTCTCTCTGTCTGTCTGTCTGTCTGTCTGTCTGTCTGTCTGTCTGTCTGTCTGTCTCTCTCTCTCTCTCTCTCTGTGTCTCTATCTGTCTGTCTGTCTGTCTCTCTCTCTCTCTCTCTCTCTCTCTCTCTCTCTCTCTCTCTCTCTCTCTCTCTCTCTCTCTCTCTCTCTCTCTCTCTCTCTCTCTCTCTCTCTGTGTCTCTATCTGTCTGTCTGTCTGTCTGTCTCTCTCTCTCTCTCTCTCTCTCTCTCTCTCTCTCTCTCTCTCTCTCTCTCACACACACACACACACACACACACACACACACACATTTTATGGAATGCATTAGGCAGTGATGTGGTGGAGGCTGACTCCATACACAGTTTCAAGTGTAGATATGATAGAGCCCAATAGACTCAGGAATCTGTACACCAGTTGATTGACGGTTGAGAGGCGGGACCAAAGAGCCAGAGCTCAACCCCCGCAAGCACAACTAGGTGAGTACACGCAGGTTAAAGACACAGTCAGATTATGATGAATGTCAGCATAAAAGAGTGCCTGAAAAAGATGAGTACAGTACCTGAAGGGACTGAACTGCTCATCCTGTCCCTAATACACGTAAATGACTTAACAGAGACAGTGAGCTCATTCTTCTCAATGTTTCCTGGCGACGCTAAACTACCGCGAATCATAGCAACTGAGGACTGCAAAACATGCCAAGATGAACCCCGGGGGCCGGTCGGCTGAACGGACAGCACATTGGACTTGTGATCCTGTGGTCCTGGGTTCGATCCCAGGCGCCGTCGAGAAACAATGGGCAGAGTTTCTTTCACCCTATGTCCCTATTACCTAGCAGTAAAATAGGTACCAGGGTGTTAGTCAGCTGTCACGGGCTGCTTCCTGGGGGTATAGGCCTGGTCGAGAACCGGGCCGCGGGGACACTAAAGCCCCGAAATCATCTCAAGATAACCTCAAGAAGAGAAGGTGAACAGTCTCCAGAGATGCTGGAAGAAATGGCCACTGAATCGACTTGAGAATGGTCCAGGACGGACCGAAACGTCGTCGTCGTCCCTTCACTTTCTAGTGTGTGGTCTGGTCAACATATTTCAGCCTCGTTATTGTGACTCTTCGCCTGCAAATGGCCACTGAACTTTAACCTGGACAATTGCAAGGTTATGAGGGTAGAGTTGGGGCAAGAACGCCTCAAATACAGTACAGGATGAAGGGCAGACAATGTCCAACTTCTAAGGGAAAGACCATTATACCCCGGTATAGTGGCATCATCCGAGGTCAAGGTTAAAAAAAAGGTCGTGGAGGACACAAGGTCACACGAGGTTAAGTGTGACAAGATATCAACTGAGATATCGGTGGTCAGAAGCTGCAAGAACAATGTGATGAAAGGTTAGAGAGAGAGAGAGAGTGTGTGCAAGAGAGAAAGACCTTGACCTTCCTTGACCTCTGATGACCATGTCATCAGAGGTCAAGGAAGGAGTAAATGTTGCAAAAGGTCAGAGTGAGAAGCAAGGTCAGACAAGGTTAGCAAGATTCACTGTGATCCTTACAGGGAGAGAGAGGAGAGAGAGAGAGAGAGAGAGAGAGAGAGAGAGAGAGAGAGAGAGAGAGAGAGAGAGAGAGAGAGAGAGAGAGAGAGAGAGAGAGAGAGAGAGAGAGAGAGAGAGAGAGATTATCAGGAGAAAACCCACTAAATCATTACGACCATATACCACTTGCAAGGAATATGAGCATAAAGATTTGGGATGAGACGTTGAAAGGAATGGTGTCCAGCCACTTGTGGACGGTCGGGGGATTGAACCCGGACCTGCATGAAGCGAGACTGTCGCTCTACCGTTCTGCCTAAGTGGAGAAAGAGAGAGAGAGAGAGAGAGAGAGAGAGAGAGAGAGAGAGAGAGAGAGAGAGAGAGAGAGAGAGAGAGAGAGAGAGAGAGAGAGAGAGAGAGAGAGAGAGAGAGAGAGAGAGAGAGAGAGAGGGATCAGAGAGTATGGGGACAAGACAAACTTGTTAGCGAAAATTACCACGTGAAAGATCCAATCGCCTTTGACCCTCGTTAATAATAGAACCAATCACCGT